AGAACAATCTCACACCGATCTGCCGAAGCTGCATCGAGGTTTCAAAACAATGGCCGGCAGCGATGAGCAACACAACAGAATTAATTCCAGCATGAAGGCTTGGCTCTGTCAGAAAGGCCTTGTGGTACCTGAGGGATTAAAGCACAAGGATGAAAAGTAACCCTTTCAGGGTCAAATATTTGCGGATTGGCAGGTACCCTGCATATTTTTGGGAGGGGTAACAAAAAAACAGAGTTGGAAGGGACCTTGGAGGTCTTCTAGTCCAACCCCCTGCTCGGACAGGAAACCTATACTATTTCAGACAAATGGTTGTCCAATATTCCAGAATGGAACACCCACAACCAGTGGTGGGATTCAATTTTTTTTTACTAACGGTTCTGTGGGTGTGGCTTGGTGGGCGTGGCTTGGTGGGTGTGGCAGGGGAAGGATATTGTGAAATCCCCATTCCTTCCCCATCCCACTAGCCTGCTTTCCAGCTCTGTTCTCCTGTGCAGGGCAACAAAAATAGACCCAGCCAATCAGCTGGGACTCAATGGGAGGCGGAGAATAGATGGGGGCGGGGCAGTGGTGGCATTCAATTTTTTTTACTACAGGTTCTGTGGACGTGGCTTGGTGGGCGTGGCAGGGGAAGGACACTGTAAAATCTCCAGTCAGAGGCGATATTTGCCAGTTCTCTGAATTATTCAAAATGTCCGCTACTGGTTCTCTGAACTACTCAAAACGTCCGCTACCGGTTCTCCAGAACTGGTCAGAACCTGCCGAACACCACCTCTGCCCACAACTTCTGGAGGTAAGCTGTTCCACTGATTAATTATTTTAACTGTCAGGAAATTCCTCCTTAGTTTCCATCCATTGCTTCTTGTTCTGCCTTCAAACGCTTTGGAGAATAGCTTCATCCCCTCTTCTTTGCAGCAGCCCCTGAGATATTGAAAGGCTGCTATCACGTGACTCCTGGTCCTACTTTTCACTAGACTAGACATACCCAATTCCCGCAACCGTTCTTGATATGTTTTAGCCTCCAGTCCCCTAATCATCTTTGTTGCTTCTTCTTTCTTGCTAATCATTCTGGTCAAGGAAGAAATCTTTTGTGCTGGAGAAATGGAGAAGTCCTTTGGCAACTCCCAAAAGTCCCTGCCTGTGCTACCTGGGGAATTCTGGGAGTTGAAGTCCATATATCTTAAAGTTGCCAAGTTCGAGAAACATTGACTTACGTGGTCATTTACAGCCCCCGTAAAGGGACAATTGTTTCACTTATGGGATACCCAATTCAGATACCAAAGCATCTTCCTATTTCCAGTTTGCCTCAAAAATCCATATTTTTTTTCCTCCTGATTGCTCCCAGGACCCATCTGGCTGTCAATTACTGTTTTCACGAGCCGCTGAAGACCACGTGTTTCAAAGCTTCAAATCGATATCACCTGTGGTGCATGGCCAGGAAAAGGTGCGCATTACTCTCATAAGCCAAGAAAATTAGGCCTGGGAGCTTTTATTGGGATTGCAAAAGTGAATACAGAGAACTCCATTGACCAGGATGATTAGTAAGAAAGTCAGCTATCTTAGTTGGTTTGCAAGTCTTTCACAACCCCACCACTGCGGCCTTTACCCCTCTCAAAAATGTGTAGCGTATCAGCTCATCACCAAATGTTTTGATTCTTCATCCAACTATTCAGCAGCGACTTCAGTACAGTGCTGGACAGACATGGTTTCCTGCCCCAAAATTAAGGGCAAGATGATATTCCTTTCGCATACTGGCTTTTTTGTCTATCTAGCTACAACCCGGGGCGCAAGTTAGAATGATTTGGGAATCGAGGGTGAGCGTGGGAGAATTCCCTTCCGTTACTCACCAAAAGAAAGCCTTGTCTCTCTTCTCGGTATCCGTGAACTCAGAGTCAATGAACATGTCTTTGTAGATGCGGCCACACATGCAATAGAGGTCAGGGGCCACTCCTTCGGGCTTCTCCACCAGGGGCAGGAGAACAGAGAGCGCTTTCTCGCGGTCCCCAGGTCGGTTCCGCCTGCAGAGACATCACATACAGATTAACAGAGTTGGAAGGGACCTTGGAAGCCATCTAGTCCAACCCCACACCCAAGCAGGAGAGCCCATACCACTTCTGACAGATGGCAGTCCAGTCTTTTCTTGAAAGCTTCCAGTGATGAAGCTTCCACAACTTCTGAAGGCAATTTCTGTTCCATGGGTTGATTGCTCTCTCTGGCAGAAAATTCCTCCATATTTCTAGGCTGAATCTCTCCTTGTTCAGTTTCTATCCATTATTCCTTGTCTGGCTTTCGGGAGCTTTGGAAAATAGCTTGACCCCTTTCTCTCTGGGACAGCCCCTCAAATATTTCTCCTTATTTCCAGGTTAAATATCTCTTTGTTCAGTTTCCATCCATTATTCCTTGTCTGGCCTACAGGTGCTTTAGAAAATAGCTTGAGCCCTTCCTCCCTGTGGCAGCCCCTCAAATATTGGAAATCTGCTATCATGTCTCCCCTGGTCCTTCTCTTCCCTAGACTAGCCATGCCCAGTTTACTAACAGAGAAGAATATACTCAAAAGAGAACATTTTCCTTATGTTCACTAAATAGCGAGACAGATTTTTTTGTAGAAAAGATGCTTGTTTCCAACATATCAGGGTGGACGTTCTCTGCCACAGACCTTCCTCTCAACAATGGTCAAAAGTCAGGGAGCTATTTGACTAGTTATCATGACTTATTCTTTTCCAGTCTTGGCTATTGTATAATAAAGTTTGGTGGTCACATCTTTTGAACGGAGACTGAGAAAAGGGGTGGTTTCGTATTTATTACTAGGTGAGCCACTATAGGCAATCCTCAAGTTATAACCACAATTGGAATCCAGATTTCCAATTGTCACACTGACAACAACTGGTCATAAGTCACTTTTTTCAGGGCCATTGTAACAGTTGCTAAACAGAAGTTGTAAGTGGAGGACGCCCTGTATGGGAAAATATCCATCCCACCTGGTTTTTCCTGCTTTGGATAAAGTTAATTAGCAGGGGGAAATTTGGAAGTGCAGGAGCTTCTGAGATCTCCTGGAGCCTCTTCCCAGGAGGAATCTACAGCAATGTGCAATTTGTGTTCTAAAAAAATCCTTCCGGAGCTGTGCTTTCCTTCATTACATTACACCTCCCCTCTGCAGCTGTATGAAGAAATTGCCCAAGAGAGTTGCAGTGGCCAAGGGGCATTGAGATGATCAAAACAGGAAACCTGTTCTTATTCACAAAAGAATCTCACCTGTCAAGGGCAAAGGCGTAGTGGAAACAGATGTTGTGCTGCTCGGCCACACTGCAGGTTGGCAGGTTTTGGAGAGTTTCCACAAGGGTGATGATAGCATCACAGTCCTGCAGAAGATAACACCGAGTGACCATTCTGTATGAGGACTTAGAGCAGAGGTCTCCAACCTTGGCAACTTTAAGACGTGTGGACTTCAACTCCCAGAATTCTCCAGCCAGCTATGCTGGCTGGAGAATTCTGGG